CGTACATAGGAATTTAACATGGTGACATACGCTTTGGCATGACCCCCCTCCCCCCTACCAGTGCGTATGTACTTTGTGCACGCCGCCTAATGGAAACTTATAGAGAGAATGAGTCAACACGTGATCAATAGGATATGAACTGCACACAAAACTCGTTACGTTTTCACACATTAATCAAACCCCAGGTTATGAGTGGGAGGGCAGACAAATGTTAACCATAGGGTTAGTGCTCATTTCACAAACATTTTTACAAATTATTCACAATTTAGACGTGAATTTAGAATTAAATAATAACAGTTACATTAATGTTGATGACATGCGTTAATTAATGCACTGCAATGCCCATTGTGTACAACTAGTACTGTACTGTGACTCCCACTCCCATAATGTGTGTAACGTTTACAAAGCTATGGACAACAGTTGTTATTGCGTTGACTACAAAACAAAACCTTATTTACAAACAGTTGGGCGCAAAATGTACGCATAAACCACCTGTGCTATAATAGTAAAGTTAGCGCATGTGGAAATACATTGTAATACAAAAGTGTTTCAATTAAATGCATTCAAATAATTTGTGAACACATGAACTTAATAAGTTACATGAAATGTCTCCATTGGAAACAACCTATTACAATTGAACACATGTGTTTTATACAATCTCAAAGACAAGATTGATAAAATACTAATATATAAACAGATAAATATGTGAATTCTGTTGTATTTTGTACTGACAGTCAAAGGGTTTGTAAGTTAAATATAAAATTTAATTTATAGTTATTTTGTTAATATAAGCAATACAGTGTATTCAAATTGTAGGACTAAATTGTAATACAAACTAAAGTAGTCTTACTTGTAAGCAAACAAAATGTCAGAAATGCTTAAGAATTTGAACAGAGAATCACAAAACTCTGAAAATAGGGTCTCTGTTGAGGATCAGCTAAAAGTGTATGAATTATGTAAAACACATTTAGGCGGCCATTGGAGTGATGTTAGTGCTGATCAACTGGTCATCAAACGCGTTACGTAAGTGTCTACTAGTGTTGTCATATATTTTATTTAAAAATTACAATGTTTTGAGTAATTATGTCATATACAATTAATTTTGTTTACCAGGGGCGGTATAATAAACAAATCATATTGCTGCAGTTTGCCGCAAAGTGCTCAAACCGGTCATGATAAAGTGTTCATCAGATTTAACGTGGACTGTACTAGTAGATTTTTGGATAAGACACACGAATTGGTGGCAAATATATTTGCATCGCAAACAGATATATCACCAAAAATATTAGGCATATTTGGGAATGGATTCATCACTGAATATATTGACGTAAATTAATTATTTATTTAAAATATATTATCTCTAATAAAATGTAACCCAAAAACAGTGCCATTACTTCACTGCCGAGGATGACCTGAACCCTAGATGTGTGGCACTGTTAGCCAAAAAGATGGCAAAAATGCATTCACTAGACGTACCCATAGCTAAGGACAGCCACCAATTCCTTATGAAAAACTATTGGGATTTGTTTGCGGCGCCGGTACTCGAGTCCTACAAAAAGGGACACATCTATGAAGAGATCCAAAGACACAAATTGCAGACATTTATGGAAATGGATTTATGCGATGAGATGTCGTGGGCTATGGAGGTGTCGGT